ATAGCAGCACCATTACAACCATCCTTGTCCTCCCATCTCCCCAATTTTTCTGCCCTTTGCGTTTGCCTCACTAGACCCCTATCCCCACCTTACCTCCTCCCCTCTTCCCAAGGTTGCTGCCCTAAGCCTTTCCCTAACAGGAACCCCCAAACCGCCTTCCCTGGCCTCCATTCGGCCTTGTTCTGCTGCCCTTAACGATTTCCTCACAACAACCATGTACCCGCCTTCCTTGTCCTGCCTTCTCCCCGGTTTTGCTGCCCTTTATACTCTCACATGAATTCCGTTCTCGTGTTCTCATAAGTGCTTCCCTTTGCCTTTCCCTTGTAGCAACATCATTACTACCATCCTTGTCCTCCCATCTCCCCATTTTGGCTGCCCTCTGCCTTTCCTTCATAATAACCTCGTCCCTTCCTTCCATGGCCTCCACTACTCTCCTCACTTTGGGTCGTTTGCCTTTCCATCACAACAACCACGTTCCCGCCTTCCCTGCCCTGCCCTCTCCCTGGTTTTTCTTCCCCGAGCTTTTCCCACACAGGAACACTGTTCTCACGTTCGTTATCCACCCCTCTCCCCATTGGTGTTTCCCCTATGTCTTTCCCTATGCCTCTCCCTCACGAAAAACCACAAACTATCGAAAACCGCAAACTTCCGTCCTTGGCCTCCACTCTCCCTCGATTAGCTTCCCTTTGCGTTCCCTCACATCAATCTTGTTTATGCCTTCCCTGTTCACTTGGTGGTGTCCAAGTCGACCAGGAAACCTGCTCGGCGAGTTCTGCGGAGGCACGCGATTGTCGTCGAGGTCGCGGTGACGAATGCGACTTTGGGCTGGTATCCCGAAGTCGATGTGGCTCGTCAGGCGCAGACAACAGCCGACGGATGCACAATGATGCGAGTCGGGCCAATCGTCTATGCACACCTGCGAGCGTGCGCACTGCTGTCTTTTGCTGGGCAACGCTGGACAGCCGCTTTGCTGCAGCGTTGGCACGCCGTCGACCTGCTGTGTTGGCAGGTCGCCTCTCAGCAGTGCTAGCGCGGCCCCTCTACGCAACGCTGTCAGAGTGTAGAGGGGGGCACTAGCAACTCTGTAGTGCCACATGGTTGACCATGTAGTGCTGACGGCCGACCACGCTAGCTGCAGAGTTGTTAGGTGCCTGATGTAGTCATTTCTGTCATTGCTTGTTCAATCATTATGTAATCTAATCTTTGCCTAGTGAAACGCTTGCTGATTTCTTCCATAAATACGCAAACGCTAAAGAACTAAGCAAGACTACAATCATTCATAGTAGTTCGTGACAACCCCCTCGTAGTCTAGCTTACTACCTCGTAGAGTGTATCTCCTTACCGGCTACCTTGCTCACTGTGCCTACTGCCCTTGCTCACTGTGCCTGCTACCCTGCTCACTATGACTGCTGCACTGCTCACTCTGCCTGCTGCCCTGCTCACTATGCCTGCTACCCTGCTCACTCTGCCTGCTACGCTGCTCACTGGCCTGCTACCCTTCTCACTATGCCTGCTACCCTTCTCACTGTGCCTGCTACCCTGCTCACTATGCCTTCTGCCCTGCTCACTGTGCCTGCTGCGCTGCTCATTGTGCCTACTACACTGCTCACTGTGTCTCATTGTGCCTGATGCCCTGCTCACCGTGCCTGCTACCCTGCTCACTGTGCCTGTTACCCTGCTCACTTTGCTTACTGCGCCTGCTACCCTGCTCTGTTGCTTATGTGCTTCACTCCCATCTGCTCTTGCATCATTGGCCTCCATCCATGTTCGCCCCCCCCACCTCACCACCCCGCGTCACACGGCATGTGCGGACACGTGTGTGGTCAAGGACTGCGTGAACGCCACGTGTAGCAGGGGCGCCGAAGGTGTTGCGTCGTGTACTTGCCACCCTGACTTCGTCTTACAGCCCGATGGACACAAAAGCAAAGGTGCGCACTGCATGCCCTTGGCCGCTACTGCCGTCAGAAATTGTTGCGTGTGCTATTTTGTGTGCTGCGTTGTGTGTTTGGCTGAGCTGCTGTGTGCTTCTGAAGTTTTTGCTGACTTTTATTTCACTTACCTAAGATCCTTGTGTTGCTATGTGCGTCTGTAGTGTCTTGTGGTGTTCAGTTTTCTCCGACCCTCCGTGCAGACATATATGAGATTGCGGATTGCGAGGGCCATGATGCCAACTCTGCGTGCATCAAGACCAACAATGTGGCATCCTGCAGGTGAAGGACCGGATACACCATAAATGCGGCAGGCATGTGCACTGGTACGTTTGCTCGGACCACCTTGTGTCACCTGCATTTCCTTCTGTGTCTGTACGTGTCTTCGTTTTTGGTCTCACTCTACCTTCATTTCCTTGGCTCCCGTCTTCTCCTCCCCAACCCTCATCTCCGCCTCTCTCCTCCACCCCTCCCTCCACCCAGACACCTGCAAGATTCAGAGCCTTGGTGTGAACGGCACGTGCGTCAAGGAAGCTACTGGAGCAGCGTCCTGTGAATGTGATACTACCTTTGCACTACAGGCCGATGGCAAGACTTGCACTGGTACGTGCTGTGTGCTCAACCTGCCTAACTGGCACAGTCGACTCGCACTTGTGTGCGTCCGCATGCATGAGCTTGAGCTCGCGTGCGAGTATGTGATTGGGTGCGTGTGTATGTGCTTCGTTCGGTGGAAGTGTGTGCAACTGCTGTTCTTTGCTCTGTTCATATACTCTCTTTGACTCTACTCTACCTGTCATCGCCTCTCTCACCTCCCCCCAGACACCTACGAGATTCAAAACGGTGGCGTGAACGGCTTGTGCGTTAAGAGCGCCACTAGAGCGGTGTCCTGTGAATGTGATACTGGCTTGGGGGATGGCAGGACGTGCACTACCATGGGTATGTGCAGTGTGCTCAACATTATTGATCGAATAATGCTCATAGCACTCTCAACCTGCGCTGCACTCTCAACCGGGTCCTAGCCACTTCTAGCGTGTGGACCGTCAGTTCTGGTCGTCGCAAGGTTCTCTCAAGCCTCCTTTGCCATCTCCCTTCCCGTGTTCCATCTTCTCCAACCCTCCCATCAGATGCTCCGTGCATTATGTGTGCCTTGCACCCATCATGCTATGTGTGTTTGAGCCGCTCCTACCGTATGCGAGTGTTGTTTGCCATTGTTGTTACTGGTCTCCTCGAATCTTCGCAGCTTCATAACTTACCGTTACACTTTCACTTGTCCTCGCCCCTCCCATTGGACGTGTGCATCATCAACAAGTGAAGCCACCTGTGGCGCCATAGCGGGGCCAACTGTTTGTCTGGGTGTGGTTTTTTGTTGCCGCCGGGTGGCAGCACGTGCGTGCGCGGTGGGTGATGCTAGCTTCAAGTGCTGATGTGCTCGCTCCACTACCAAGGCATCACAACTGTCAGGCGTTCCCAACATCTCGTTCGAAAATTTTTGAATTCCACTACCCCTCATTTCACGTCCCCTCCACCCCTCCACCCCTCTCTTCTCCGCGCTGCCTCTACCCCCACCCTGCGACATGCGAAACGATGGGCTGAGGTGGGAACCAGCACTGTGTCAACACCAATGGAGTGCCGTCTTGTGTTTGTGACTAGGGTTTTCCGGCGTACGAGGGTAGCTGCTATGGTAGGTGCTGAGTGTTGTGCATCTGTGTTGCAGCCCCTGTTATCTAACACGGTATGTGTTGTGCCGTCTCTTGCTTGTGACGGTAGCTCCTGCTGTCTCAAAAATTTCTACCCCATGTTAATCAGGGCCCTAGATTCATTTTGGACCAGGCTGATCCATCAGCGTTGGTCCATAAAAAAAGTCTGCTGATCAGCGTTACCTAGCAAAGAAACTCTGAAAATTCAGTGTTGGTGCAAAAAGAAAGGCTGATTATTTTTCCAATTATTTTTTTATTGTTAAGGTGTACACACTTAATATAGTTCATCTTGCAAGGTGTAGCGAGATCTGGTAAACAGGGCACGAGAGAAGTAAGTGGGTGCGAGAGAAGCAAGTGGGTGCGAGAGAAGCAAGTGTGGCGAGAGAAGCAGATTGGTGCTTTAGGGGCAGGTGAGCTGCGGGGAAGGGCGGGAGAGGCAGGTCACAGGGGGGTCGAGGGGGAGGGGAGGGGCGGGTGAAGCTGGTAAGTTGGGAGACGTGGGCTGGGGGAAGAAATGAGGTGGGCAGGGCTTGGTAGGGGAAATGTGCGACCCGTAGGGGCGAGAAATTGAGGTGGCTGGGGGGCGGCGCGAGAGATTTGGGTGAGCCGGGGGTGGGGGGTGGGTGGGGCGATAGGCTGAAGCAGCACATTTCAGGGATTTAGCAAGGGTCCCGTTAGTAGAGCTACAAGATCAGCGTACACTCACCAAAGTTGTCTGAAAAAACAGACAATGTACAAAAAAGAAGGCTGAAAAATCAGAGAAGGTACAAAAAAACTTTGAGTTCAGCCTAGGTACCAAAAAAAAGTCTGAACGAACTCTGAATCAGCGTAAAAAGTCTGATATCTATGGCACTGATGTTGATCCTTTGTACATCAAACTTGTATGCCGGGAGTGGAATGCATTAAGGCCGCCGAAGAAAATTGTGACGAGTCGTGGAGGTGGAACAGCCAAGGGTGTTGGTAAGTTTCACACGTTTGAGATTTGCTTGTTGAGAAATCAATGTTCCGGTATTGTACTGCCACCTAGTGTTAATACCCTGCATCCGTCCGTGTAGTCAACTTACTAGAAATAAACGCACCCTTTCACAATCATGGCACTTCCACCCGGTGGCCTCTTTCTCAAAGTACACCCCGATTGTCCCCTACACCCCAATTTAGGCCCCTGCACATTCGTGCGTACACGAGTGCGTGCAGTGCAGGATAAATCATAACTTGGTGGGCTGAACTGCAAGTACCATCCTCACCGAGTGCCCTTTACCATCGACCCATGTAAGGCTTCCAAATTGAAATTTGTCAGAAGGTTTCGTCACCTTGAAGGTCACCCTAAAGCTGACCTTCCCACCTCGAGCAATAGTGAACTTGTTGGGTGAAACCGTCACCTGCACGCCTGTAGGAGGCATATGCTCGCCGTGTATGTTGATGACGAGTCGGCAACATTTGTAACTCTCCTCGTTGCTGTCACCATTCCTTTCAAGTGGGAAATTGATATGCTAGGACGGTTCAGCTCATGGGGAGGAACTGCAATAAGTTTAGCCCTTGGGAAATATCTCTTTGCCAGGGCCATACTCTGCCCGGCTAGGAAATTCCTATAAGCAGCTGCCCGAGCGTCGTACGTTAGGCCAGGATCAAGCACCTTGGGTGGGAAAACATGGCCAGATCCCATATCCCACGGTGTGGCAGCCCTGCCATAAGCCGTTTTAATGGCAGCACCACTGGTGTCAATGGTGGTGGCAGTGGTGCAGATGGCAGACATGACCTGCGCGGGGCTCCACGAGGGGTGCTTCTGCATGATGAGAGCCGCAATGCCCGCCAAGTGAGGCGTCGCCATGGACGTCCCCCGCGCCCGCAAGTATCCCCCCGGGCTCCCGACCTTCCTAGCCGGCCATGCATCGTACAGATCCACACCCGGGCCAACAATATCGGGCTTTAAGATGCTGTTGGTGGGAAAGGCACCAGTGGCGTCGGTGGAGAGGTCCCGGAGGGGTCCGGTGGCAGAGAAGTTGGCAATGACAGGATGGGCAGTGGCTGCTGCGGTGGCTGACACAGAGGATGAGCTGTTGAGAGCTGCAGATGCTGGCGCAGAGGCCTCTAGGGTTTGACCGCCACGGCCAATGGTGCTGCCAGATGGACGAGCAAGGTGGGAGGAAGGAGAGGGGAACATAAGTGCATGGCAAGAATGGGAGCAAGCAGGCGAGGTGGTATGGTTGGGTGTTTAGGGAGGATAGAGAAGCAGCCAGCTCACCTTGCCCCCACAGTGAGGTAGAAGGGAGAGAAGTTTTCAATTGTGCGGCGAGAAGGGTGGGGAGGACCATCGTTGCCTGCAGCGAATGCCACAAACACCCCCGCGAGATTGGCACTGAGGTACGGCGTGTGGGAGAAGTAAGTGTCATTGGGATGCTCGGCGCCGATAGAGATTGAGATGACATCTACACCGTCGGCTACCGCCTGGTCCACTGCAGCGTCAATGTCGGCCACTGAGGCTATCCACGGATCTTTTAGACTCTACACTGCGAGGCGCGCTGCTGGCGCCATGCCGCTCGCCGTGCCGCCCGCCATGGACACATTCTTGTTGCCCGCTGCTGCGCTGCAGGGAAGGATAAGGACGCCCGAGGAGGAGGGGGCGGTGTGGAGGTGAGAGACATGCGGTGAGCAGAGTCACCATACTGGGCTGATGCATGGGCGAAGATTTAAACTTTGAAGTGTGCCGGCTCACAAGTGGAGAGAGGCAGTCTAGAAAGGCATGTCAAAAGGCAGCCGCTGAACTGACCAGCCACAAGTGGATGCCCCTCTAAACTGCCTCACAGTGTAGGCAGTTTAGAGATGCATCCACTTGTGAGCCCTGCTGGCTGGTCAGGAAAATTTTGAAGCAGGCATGTCAAAAGGCAGGCAGGGGCCAAGTCACATACCCTGCACACCATGTGCCGTGGCCGTACGAATCCCTCGGCGACACCCAATCAATAGTGCGGTTTAGCTCGCCGTACTCCACTCTGAAGCCCCTGTAGAAGACCCGCGCACCGATGACCTTGTTGTTGCACTTGAACTCCCTCGTGGCAGCGCACTTCCCTGACCAGCCAGCAGGGCGGGAGGAGGGGAAGCCGGCATCGCTGAAGGAGGGGTGCTCGGGCCAGATGCCCGAGTCCACCACGCCGATCACCATGCCCTTGCCCGCACTCTCCTGCCCGCCAGTGGCAGGCCACAGCGACCCGGGGGCGCCCATGCGCAGGAACGTGGGGGAGTCGACGGAGAGGGGCGTGACGGTGCGGCTGCGCGTCACTGCCGCCACTGCTGGGTGCCGCCGCAGCCGCCACACCTGCTGCTGCGACAGCGATGCTGCAAACCCGTTGCTCGCATGCTTGTAGCTGGGGGAGGAAGTAACACGAGCGTGGGGAACGGGTGCGGGGCGGGGGGAGGAGGAAGGTCGACGGGGGAAGGGAGGAGGGTGGGGGGTTTCGTGCGGGAGGAGGAGCGGGAGGAGGGGATGGGAAATGTCATTTCAGGCGAGTAGAAATTCTCAAAACTGCAAGTTGCAGAAAAGTGTCAAAGAAACTTTTCTTATTGAAACAATAAAATCATACTGGGTGCTATCGAGTCATTCTTGCCTCGCTGCTGTTCGCACCTGTACACAATGCGATCTGACGTCACGCCCACGTCAGACGCGACCTGCGTCTGCTGCGTCTCCAGCATCTGCGCATACGCCTTCAGCTGCGGGTTCTCCGTGCTCAGTCGCGCGCGCCGCGGAACGCTTCCAGCCAGCGTCGCCGCCTCGTGCGCAACCGTCGCCGCCGTCGCCCGCAGACCTGACAGACCAGCATCATCATCATTATCAACTTCGTCGTCGTCGTCCGTCCATCCCGAGTAGCTCGCTATCCCGCCGCGATACGCGGCGAGGGGGGGGGCGGAGCGCAGGCGCACGATGTAGAGCGACGAGTACTCGCGGGTGGGCGCTGCGAGCGGCGCAGCAAGGAAGTGCGGAGGGAGGCGGGGGGAAAGAAGGCTTGTGAAGATGATCGCGAGAAAGGAACGACGCGGAGAGAAGAATACGACTAGACGACTCGTCGGACGGGCGAGTGACGTGGCTTACGGTAACGTTGTCGAGCGGCTAGGCATTGACACGTGGAGGAAAGGAGAAGCGCGATGACGAGAAAGAAATCGGCGCGACCCGTCATTGTCGGGAGGCAACTCGGAGCGGAAGCTGCGGTCGACAAGCTCGAGGCTGGCGAGAGGCGGAGCCTGGCCGCTTTGACGGTTGTTCGGCACGTGACGTTTCCGCTGCTTCAGTCTGGAATGGTAAAGGCTGGTGAGGAAACGCGTATGGCGTGGATTCCAAACAAGGTTGGAGTTGAGGAGCGAAATGCGGAGTACATGGCGCGCGAGGCCAAGACGATGATTCTAAGTTATTAGTAACGCACGGGGCTAGCCGAAACATTCTGTATGCGCTGCGGCGGAAAAGAATGAGGAAGTGGGCGGGACCAGCGCGTTCGTTAACTGTTATTCCGTCGTGGCGCGAGACTTCCAGACAGTGCACAGCGGTTATCAAGCTTCACCGTTTTGCACCGTGACGCAACAGGAGCAACCGCACAGAACGAACAAAGGATGAACACGCTGGAACCGCCCTTATTAGTTCAGCTTGGCTGCCGTAAAGAAAGGAAGTTATTACAGACTGGCAGCAGTTGTAAGGAACTCAGAAATCACCCAAGCAGCATTGCCCATTCCCGAAGTTGGCGTGTTTCCGCAAGAGAGGTTGGATGGAAGCGATCCGAGAGGTTACCTTCAACACCATCTCGAAGTTTTCGCGGCGCAGCCAGGCGTGGTGCGTGATGTTTGGGAGGGGGGAAAGGGAGGGGCACAGCACAAGCGAATGCGGCGGAAGGGTGGGTAGAAATACCAAATATGGGAAACAGTTTTCGCCAAGCCAATCCGTGCATAAGGACGCGTCACCTGCCTCGATCGATCCTGCGCAGGTTCGATTTTTTATTCGGTGAGAAAAGTTCTTAAGATGTTTTAAATGCAACACTCGGGGTTCTAGTGCGGTGGACGATCGATATTCCTCGCTTTTGCACGATCGATCGAGGCAGGTGACGCGTCCTAAGAGTATCGACGTGAAACATCTTGTAAGGAATTTCTCGGATTCCTTACTGGGTCACACTGTACGCGTACAACCCCGACTTTCGGAAAACCAGGCTCGGTCCGCCGACCTCGCCTTCCGAGCCACTACCGCGTCGCCTTCGGGTTTCCCAACCCCAAACCTGCACCCAACCATCTTGCGGCCCCGCGACCTCGGCCTAGCTAGCTTCGCTATATTAGTCCTAGGCCTCGTTGTGTTCTCAGACGTTGTAATCACTTCCGCATTATTGAGTTCTGCGCACTCTTCCAGTCACAACTCATAACACTTGGTATCAGAGCTACTTTCCTAGGTTACCCTCGCGTTTCCGGGGTAGTTTGTAGAAGGGGAGCGATAGACTTGGTGGGCTGTTAAGCGGTCGGCCCGTGGAATAGATCCGATTATTCCACTCCGACTACGATAGCATTAACGCCTTCACCGAAGTCAGAAAAATCGCGAGCCACCCCCTGCCCGTTAGACGAAGCCTACGACGCATGGAACAGGCGGAGTTCAACGAGTTCATGCAACAGTTCCGGACGATGCAGGCCACCATGCAGACGATGTCTGCAGAAATGGAGCGTCTCCAGAAGGAAAACGCCGAACTACACCAGGCGCGTGGTGAAGCGCGCCAGGAGTCGCCTGTCGTGGACGACGCAAGTAGCAGCACTGCACCAGATGAGCGGGTCTGGGACAAGCTGGAAGGTGAAATGGATGCGGACGAGGCGAGGCAGGCGCAGCAGCAACAGTCACCGCAACAGTCGCGAGCGGCACCAACACATGCAGCAGCGACGACGACGGCGACGCCAGCAGCGATGCCAACGGCCACGATGGCAGCAACGGCTCTTGTTAAAATCAAGCCGACAAATTCGCCCCCATTTAACCCAAGTGACAAGTTCGTCACTGTTTCTGCATGGTTGTTCGGCGTGGAGGTGTTTTTCAATGCTGCCATGATTTATGACGATGCCACCCGCATTAATTTCGCAGTTTCACTGTTGCGAGGACCTGCGCTGGAGTGGTGGAGGCGAACGCTGCCGGACAAAGGGACTCCGGCGGGGATAGCATGTGCGAACGACGGGACTTCAACACCTGTCACGCATCGAGCAGCATCAATTTTTGGGACGGCCACGATACGCACATGGAGGGAGCGGGGCGCCGCCTTGCGAACCAGATTCGAGCACATATCCGCCTCGGATTCTGCTCGCATGAAGCTGCGTGCCTGGAAGCAGCTGACTTCGGTCCAAGACTACACCAGCACATTTTGCAACTTGGCGGACCAGGTGCACGACATGAGCGATGCGGAGCGGTTGGATCGCTACGTGGCGGGCCTGAAATACGAGATACAGTACGAGGTCCGACGAACCCGGCCACGCAGCTTCAACGACGCCGTCCGGGAAGCCGAGTCAACGGATGCGCTGATGCAGTGGGCGAGATCGAGCTCCCGGGAGGGCCCTCGATTTCGTGGATCGACTCAGCAGCCCACGATCAACGGCGTGGATGCACCAAGCCGAGCCCTTGGGCCGTGCTTCTTATGCAACGAGCTGGGCCACCTGAAAAAAGATTGCCCGAGGCTTAAGCAGGGGAAGAAGAACGACGGAGAAGGGTCGGGAAAAGATACGAGTCAGTAGCAGAAGGGCCACCTACTGACGAGACCCTGTCGCCCGACAATCACCATCCACACCGGGTCGTGGTACCGATCAGAGCTATCGACCAGAACCGGACGAATAACGTGGGTGAACACGTGGACTACCCTGTGCTGGTGGTGGGGAGGGTTAACGGTTATAAATAAAGTTCTTCGTTGACGGTGGGGCGAGCCACAGTCTCGTCAACCTGGCAACGGCCAAAAAAATTGGGGTGAAGCTGACCAGGTGTCTGCCGGAGATCGATGCAAGGTTGGTGGACGGGACACCGCTGGCCATCCGAGATGAGGCGCGAAAAATTCGGATACAGTGCGGCGACAAATTCGGGCTTGGAATGAAGATGTTGGCGACGACGTTGGACGGCTGCGATGTGCTGCTGGGGAGGGATTGGCTGCAGCGCTTCAATCCGACGATCGACTGGACGACTGGGGCGTGCGTCGTGCGAGGATACGGAGGGAAGACGACGCTTCCGAAATGGACGGAGCCAGAGCCAGTGACGACACGTGTCAACGCGGTCAACATGCAGCGTGCGATGAACAGCGGAGCTCAGGCCTTCCTGGTGCACCTGTACGAGGTAGCAGCTTTCGAGAAAATCGCGGACATCGACACCCTCTGCGCAGCAGTCCCCGAGGAATTGGCGAGCATTATTCGGCGGTATCCCGAAATTTTCGCGGATGACCTCCCGGATGTCGAGAGAGTAAGCACGATGAGGAGCCATAGCTAGGGTTGACCTAGCTAGGCAAGAGAGAATGAAGCAAAACGAGGGGCTTGCACTAGCAACAATGGTGGTACAAATAGCTAACCCTAGAAGGGTTGTACTCGCTATAGAGCACCCCACTGCAGGCTAGAGCATAATATTCTGACACACCCCCATAGCCAAAGTGGGGTGTAATCAGCAGAGCAAGCAAAGCAGTACAAGCTCAGGGTGGATCACGATGTCACCACACATTCTGAGCACAATGAGGAGAAGCAATAGTTTAAAGTTCACAATTATGAGCAAAGCTAGAGGCAGTCACAGAGGGCAAGTGAGGAGGAGGAGGGCTGGTGAGAGGAGAGTAGATTAGGAGGCGACGACTGAAGCTGCAGACACACGGGCAACAGACGGCTCTGGTGCGACACAGTGGCTACCGGGAATGAGTGCCCCGGAGTACAGGAGTAACAGGCTCCGCGGCTAATACGCGCGGCAGGAGCAACGGACCCACAGGCGACGGCGCAACCGGCTCTCTGAGCTACCGGGAATGAGTGCCCCGGAGTACAGGCGCTGCGTACGACACGACGGCAACCTCCGCTCAACCTCCCCCAACAGTCCCACACCCCTCGACACACACCCCCTGCTTCAAACCCTAGCTCCACTCCCACGGTACCCCCCTTAAACCCCAAACCCTAGGCTCCCACACACCACCCCCCTCAGCGGCAGCTGTAGCAGAGGGAGACGAGGGAGGAGGAGGAGCAGGGGGAGTAACTCACAACCGACACCCCCATAGCCGCCACCCCCACACTCCTCACCCCCAAACCCTAAAACGGGCGGAACGGGGGAAGGAGCGCGGGGGACGGCGAGGGGGACGGCGCGCGGCCCCCAGGACGCCACCACGGGGCAGCGAGGGGCCGCGCGCGGCTCCTTAGGGCGCCGCGACGGGAAATCGGGGGCGGAACGGGGGGGTCGCGCGCGGCTCCCCAGGGCGGCGCGACGGGAAATCGGGGTGAGCAGCGGAGGGTCGCGCGCGGCTCCCCAGGGCGGCGCGACGGGAAATCGGGGGCGCGCGGGGGTCCCCCACGGTAGGAAACCGCCGCGCGCCTCGGGGCGCACGGCGGACAGGAAACCGCCGCGCGTCTGGGGCGCACGGCGGGTAGAAAAACCGCCGGACGCCCCGAGCGCGCGGCGGGATGAAAAATCCGTCGCACGCCACGGGGCGTGCGACACAAACAGTAGTAGGAGCAGCGGAAGACTGAGGTGGTGGGGCCCACCCACAGGATCGACCCAACTGGATCGTCCTGCTCTGATAGCATGTCGAGAGAGTAAGCACGATGAAGAGCCATAGCTAGGGTTGACCTAGCTAGGCAAGAGAGAATGAAGCAAAAGGAGGGGCTTGCACTAGCAACAATGGTGGTACAAATAGCTAACCCTAGAAGGGTTGTACTCGCTATAGAGCACCCCACTGCAGGCTAGAGCATAATATTCTGACACCGGATGGCTTGCCCCCCCAAC